GCTGGGCTAGCCCAGGCTCACATTAATAAGAACTCCTGCCCCCTTCTAGATCTGGAGTCACTCTCTGAGCCATAACAAGGGGTGACTCCTGGTGACCCCTTGTTATATCACTGAGGATGCACAGCAACCCACGAGGGAGTTGACATTACCCGTTTCCCAAGTGGAAGTCAGGAGATGTGCCCAAGACCACAGGGTCAGTAAGGGGCGGCCTGAGCTGGTATCATACCTGGCACTGCCTCCTCTGTGGTTGTGAGGTTCAGCGGGCTGGGAGCCAGCCTAGGACTGGGCTCAGCTGTGGCAGGGAAGGTTCATTCTCAGGGACCTGGGAGAATAATCTCGAATAAGAGTAATTAGCACTTCTGAGCATTCACATTCTCTAGAGGTATTCTCTCCTTTAGTCCTTGCCACCGCCTAGAACAGGAAGCATTTCTTTGTTTTACAGGTGGGAAAACAGGCTCACAGGTCACATGGCCCATAAGAGGGTGAAGGCAGGATTGGAACTGGGACCCTTCTCCCCGCATCTGTGCCTGGGCCCCCTGCCTCCTAGTTCCTCAGCTTTGCCGCCCCTCCTGCAGCCAGAGCCACACAGCAAACCCTTCACTAAGCCCCACTCTGCACCGGCTTCATGGCTTTAGGCTGCTGGAAGGAAGGAGGTGGTTAGGAAGGTCTGGGGGTGTCTGCAGTGGGGGCCATGGGCCACCCAGATAGCCACCCCCCAACCCCTACCAGGTTGCGTGGGAGCTGGCTCTGAGGGCTGAGCATCACAGGGCACCCTCCAGAAGGGTCCAGCCCACCCCAGGCCTGCCCGCGCCCCGCCCTGGCTCCAGGAGAGGTGAGGGCAACGTGAGCAGTGCTCCCAGGCCTCCACGGGAAGATGGTTTGGGGCTAAGCTATTTTTATTTAATGTACGAGATTGAAATGTCTCCTTTTCTCGCCTCCTGGAGAACCCTGGCTTTCTCTGACTGGCACATCCATAATCGCCAAGTGTTTTATTATGTTAAATCTAGAGCATCATAAATACTTATGAGGAGGAGTTACATCTGGAAGACTTATGAAGAAATCAGTCCCCTGGGGCCCTGAGCCTTCACAGGCAGGGAGGTTGGGGGGGGAGCTGGCAGCCTGGGTACAGCTGGCAGCCCTCTCCAAGCATCTCACATCAGTGTGACCTGTCCCAGGGTCCCAGGGCTGGAGTAGTCACCTTGGTGTTCCCCTGTCCCAGAGCAGAACCACCGACAGCAGGGCAACACTTGTCTAGACTTGCCCTAAAATCCCCAAAGTGTCACCATCCCCTGGGCCACCTTCCCTGCCTGGGGGTGGGAGAGGCAGAGAGTGAAGCCAGTACGCCCCCAATAGTGCATGTGGGGCTAGCTTGCATGGGCACATTTCATACAGCTTTACGAGCATAGCCCCAGGCGTAGGGCCCCGTGGATGAGGCTCTCAGAGGAGAATGGGTTATGCAGCCTGTGATGAGCTGGTGAGCAGACCTGTGCAGGTGAGTGGCCTTATGGGTGGGGAGCAGAGACAGAGTTGGGAGCCGCATGGTATTTGTAACGCATGTGCCATTTACCTTCTCGTCCCCCACTCTCCCCTTGTCGCCGGCTCTGGGGGCTGGGTAAGAAGTTCCCCAGCTCTTTCCAAAGCCACCTTCCTGTTCAAGCACCTAATTACCTTGTGGTGACAGGCCCAGGAGAGCTCCTTTGAGACTAGCTAGCGGCATTCCTAGGGTGGACTTGTTCTGCTGTGTCTGCGAGGAGGTGGTTAGAGGCAGAGGCCATTCCTGAGGCTGGCTGGAGACGCTGCAGATGCTCACAGCTGTATCCTTGCCATGCTGAGGGGCTCGAAGCAGAGCGACTGGGAGGCTCAGGCCCCCTGTGAAAGCCGCTGCTGCACTGCTGATGTCCTTGCTCGTTAATGTGTGCATCCAGCAGGTAGTTGCCAGGCGCCTACCAGGCCCTGTGCCAGCCCTGGGGACGAGAACTGGACAGGCCCTGTCCTTGCGGTGCTCCTCGTACCTCATCTGTCCTGTGCCTTCTGGCCCTAAGAACTGTTCAAACTTCGGGGCCTTTGTCCCCAGCCTGTCTCTCCACTTGAATTTCTGCAGTTTTAAAGTCGTCAGCTGGAAGGGCCCTGAGTGTTATCTCGTCTAGCTTCTTTTTCAAGATAAGGAACTGAGGCCCAGAAAGGTTGGATGTTTGCCTGAGGTCACACAGTGAGTTGGGGCAGAGCTGGGCAGGGCTCCGGTCTCCTGTCTCAGGCTCTGTGCCCTGCTGGCTCTTATTTTGGGGGCAGGTAGGGCAGCTTCAGCTTCTGGGAGAGACTGGGGGCGCTGTGTGGCAGCGCTGAGCGTGTAAGAGCACCCTGAGCAGAGGTGAGGCCTGACCGTCAGCCTCCAGGGCACCTGGTGTGCGCTTACATAGACAGCCAGGGTCCTCAGGGGTCCAAGTGTACCATGTGGCTGCCCACCAGCTCCTTCCCAGGCCTAGACCCCTGCACGCCCTCGGAAGATGTGTCTTAGTGTGGGGTTCCCCAGAAACAGACACAGGAACAAGGATTCAAGTGTGCGTGGTTTATTTGGGAGGCGAAGGTAGAGTGGGGAAGGGAGTCCAGGGACGGAAGGCAGCCAGTAACGAATGCCTCGGTAAGCCAGTACCCACGGAGGCGTCTGAGCTGGACCTGCCCGGGGACTCTGGGGTCCACTGTGGAACACACACCCAAGAGGGAGGGAGCTGGGGTATTTATCCACCCACTCCCCAGGCATTGGTGGAAGGCTGGCCTTAGGAGGTGTTAATTACCTGTCACTTGCAGCCTGATTCCAAGTAAAAGGGAGAGCACGTGGGCAGGGCACGCTCAGCGTGTAGCTCCCCAGCTGGAAACCCTGATGTGCCTTTCTGTGCTAGTTAGCAATCTTGGTAACAAACGATGGAGACACAAAAAGGATTTTTTTCATTCTTTACCTGGAAAGTGAAAGTAAGGTCTGCCTCCAGGCACTGCTCCATCTAGGGGATTGCAAACATCCACAGAGGCCCTGCTATGTCTGCTTGGCTTCACCCAGAATGTGGCCCCTCCACCACATAGCTGGCCAGGGGACAGCCAGAAGCCCCAACATAGTCGCAGCCAAGAGGGATCTCGTCTCTACTTTTCAGTCCCAGGGAGGACAGACTGGCCCTGCCTAGCTCACGTGCGAATCCCTGACCCAATCCAGTGGCTGGCAGCATAGGATACTCTGATTACCGCAGACTGGGTTGTTTGTCCATTATTTGTGGCTGGCTGGACACCTACCTCTCCAGGACGACTTGGCATGGAAGGAGTGTTCTTGTGGGGAGGGATGCTGGCAGACAAAGACTGCACGCCCACTCCATGGCCCACCCTGAGCATCAAGTCCTGGCACTCATCAGGTGGACAAGGCCCCCAGGATGGGGCTCTGTGTCTCTCCAGCCTCCTCTGCTTCCAGTCTCACTTGCAGCCAGAGCCCATTTCAGTTCCCTGAATGTGCCACGCTCTTTCTCACATCCAGACACGCCTTACACTCCAGCTCAGGTATTACCTCCAAAAAGCCTGTGCAACTTCTCAGGGTAGGTTTTGTGGCCCTTGGATGTTCCCAGGATGCCCTGTGGCCCTCTTGATGAAGCATTTTGCACACTGGAACAAGATGCCTGTCCCATGTGTGTCCTGTGCCCCCGGAATCCAGAGCAGCGCTTGACACACAGTAGCTGTCCAGTACATACTTGTGGAATGAACACATCAGAGAGGATGCGTGGTAGCACACAGCCATGGCTTGGGGCTCAGCAGACCCGGGTTCTTGCCCCAGCTGCCCCCAGACTCACACCATGACCTTGAACCGTCTCTTCAGTTTCTTGGGTTTTCTTCCCCTTACAAAGCAGAGGCAGCACTTGCTTCCTTCAGCCAGATCAGAAGGAAACAAAGATTAGCCCGGGGCCACAAAAGCACTTTGAAAAAAATCCTTTCTTGCTTTTTATGCTCATCATTTCACACCTATTTATGTACGTATACATTTTTTTCTATCTTTGAAGTCTTTTTTTTTATATCCCCCCCAAAATTGTGTATAACTAATCTGGCTTTTCTCCCAGCCCCCACCCACTGGTTAACAAAAAAATTAACTTGAAGTCCAATCTGGTTTAAAGCTTAATCTAATCTGATGATTGAAACAGCCTCTTTAGATGATGTTCTCTCTCCTTGAAATACAAATTCACTGTTTCTCAGAGAGCCAGCCTTCTCTGCTTCTCCCTGCAGGGTGGTGTCTGGGCAGGTTGGGGACTGGGAGGAGCGTAGGGCCTACATGCTGGGGTGGGAGGTGGGGCTGGCCCTGGGCTGGCTTGGCATCAGCTGCTGCCCATGACAACCGAAACCATCACAGGAGAATCCTGCCCCGGCCCCTTGTCTAGACCACCCATATGTCCTTCATTCCAGAGGAGGCACTAGACTGTCATTCTGAGAGCACAGACTGCAGCCAGACCTTCTAGGTTCATAGCCAAGTGACCTTGGTCAAATTCCTTAGCCTCTCTGACCTCAGTTTCCTTATGGGAAACACATGGGATAGTGTACACATGGGCTAGGTAAAAATACCTATCTATAAAGCCAGTGTGTGAATTCCACAAGTTAGCATATAGAAAACGCTTAGAAGAGTACCTAACACAAATTAAGTACATAGCAAATCATTGCTATGATGCCGATGATGATGATAATGTTTTTCTTCTATTCTACTTCCTCCCCCAACTGCTAAGTATTGGGGGAGGAAGCCCAGTGGGTGGCTGTTCTGTTTAAACACTGGACGAAGCCAGCAGGAGCTCAGCCCTGTGGAAGGAGCGGGGGTGAAGGGGATTGGTCAAGAGCCCTCATGTTCTGACCTTGAACCTCACAGCAAGACAAACACAAACAGTATCCGCTGAGCATTTGCCCTGAGCCGACACTGCTCCCTGCACGCCACACTCTCCCCTCTGGAGATCGTCACAACCACTTTTTCAGACAGATCCAGTCTCCCGGTTGTGCAAATACAGCAGCTGAAACCAGAGAAAACTGAGTCACTTTTCCAAGGCCACCCAGCTAGTGAGCCAGGAAGAGCAGGATTTAGACCTAAGCCTCTTGACTGCAGCGTGGACAGTCCCACCCACTGACATCACCTGCGGCTTCCCCCACCCCCAGCCCAGCATGGAGCCCCCAGGGAGTCTCTAATCGCTTCTGGTGTCCTTGCCCTAGAGTTCCAGTTCATGTCCGTGTGCTGGCCTCGCTGACTATCATGCTGGCCATCTTCGTGGTGATGACCATGCTGGTGAAGGTGGACACCTCCTCGTGGACCCGCAGTTTCTTTGCTGTCACCATCACCTGCATGGCGATCCTTAGTGGCACTTCCATCATCTTCACTAGCAGCGTCTTTGGCATGACTGGCTCCTTCCCTATGAGGAATTCCCAAGCACTGATATCAGGTAAGAGCCTGGATCCAGACAACCAACCAGGTCCGTTCCCTGGGGGACGTGCGAAAGAGCGAGTTGAGCATGGGGCCGCCCTGCCAGGAAAGGAAGTGTTAAGCGCGTTTCCATTATCTCTCATTGTGTAACAAAGCATCCCAGAACTTAGAGCAATAACAGTTGTTTCTTTTTGCTCACAAACGTGCGATTTGAGCAGGAGTTCATGTAGACGGCTCTCCCCTGCTCCACACAGCGTCAACCAAGGTAGCTCAACTGGGACAGGGGGATCTACTTTCTAGATGGCGCGCTTGCCTGGCTGGCACGTTGGTGCTGGCTGTTGGCTGGAAGTTCACCCAGGGCTGGCCGTTGGCTAGGAATTCAGCCAAGGTTCCTCTCCACCTGGACCCTACCACGGCTGCCTGGGCTTCCCCATGGCATGGCTTCTGGGTTGCAAGAGCAGAGACTCCAAGAGGCCTAGGCAGAAGTATCATTTCCTTTTATGACAGCCATTTAGGGCCCCTTCCGCCATAGCCATAAGCCCACCTGGATTCAAGAGGAGACAATACAGACCCACATGCCTCAGTGGGAGAGCATGAAAATCCCACTGCAGGAGGAGAAGTGGGAGGGAGAACACAGCTGCAGCCACTTTTGGAAAACTTTCTGGCTACCGACTGCGTTTCCTGAAACCGATTCCTTTTCTCTCCTTCCCTCCTTCTCCCCTTTCCCTTTTCCTGTCCTTTCTCTTCATTTTTCCTTCCCATTACCGTTTTCCCCTTCTTTTTTTCTTCTTTCCTCCCTTTTGTCTTTCCTTCCTTTCTCATTTTGTAGAAGACCTGCTATGTGCCGGGAATACAAAGATGAGCAAGACTCAGCCTCTCAGGAGCTGGCAGCTTAGCAAACAGACTCCCCCATTACCCCGAACTCTGGTGTTCTGTGGGGGCGCTGAGGTGTGACTGGGGCCAAGCCCTTCAGCTGGAGTTTTGATGCTGATCCTAAGCCTGTTCTCTAGCCCTTAGCAGAGCTGTTCTCTCACCCAGATGTGCCAACAAGATAAACAGGAGCTGGGTCAGTAAGAATCTGTGCTTTCGCAGGAGACCACCACCCTTTAAAGCGAGACCGGGAGCTCGGCTGCTCTGTGCGTCATCTCCACACGTACCTGTCAGGTGAAGGAGTGCTGTGAGCCTTTGCTGCCTTGAGAAGCTTTTCACAGTGAATTTTCTGTGTGCCCATTAACGCATAATGCCAGGTAGTATGTGGCAAGGGTGACAAATACCTCAGCAAGTATATATTTCCGCTCCCACGCCAGGGCCAGACATCACTAATAGATCTCTATCTTTTCTCCTGAGCCTCTAAATCCTTCTCAACGCAGCAGTTACTGTCAGCGGATCAGAGTTCAGATGTGACCTCACATCTGTCGGCCATTTTTGATAGAAGATTAGGCTTCCGGCTCTATCCTGGGAAACCCTTGGGCCTAAAATAAAATAAAAATGGACCCCCTGCCCAGTTTCCTGCATACAATCAGTGTGCCCTAGCAATACTTCCAGAAGGGCACGCCTAGGCTGAAGGAGATGGCCACCAAATGCTGGATTGAATCCCTTCTGCCACCCCAGGCTTAGAGAAGCCCTTGTCCCCTCATCTTCCTCCTGCTAGAGGCCGTACTTTTCAATGCAACATCAGCCTTGCCGGTTAACTCTTCAGGGGCCAGTGACCAAACACACCTTTTATGTTGGCAAGGGGCCCTTCAGGTTCATCTGGCCACCTGTGAATCTCCTAGGGAAGGGGACTCTCCCGTGAACTTTTCAGAGTGTCCATTTTTGAAAAAGTATTGAAATCCAGTACTCACATTTCTGTATTCATTGTCCTGGGCCCTGAGCTGTTGTCATCACTGTGTGAGGCCCCCCTGTGGGCACCCATCACCCTGGAAAGTCCGAGGTGTCCCAGTCTCCCAGAGGCCCCAGTGCCCCCTCACCAGCCCCCGTTGCTTTTCGTCCAGAGGAGCCCATCTGTGAAATCTGCCTGTGTTGGCATCTGAGGAACAATTCATTCATTTTGTGCTGGTGTTTTTTTAAAGCCCTCATTTGCATGTATTTCCATAACTGATGAGATAAAAGGAGGGAGTCATGAAGGATGAGTTCCTGGAGGCCTGGTTTGTTGTTGATGATAATATTGTAAATTCTCTACAAGTTGAGAAGAGAGAGGAAAATCAATAGGCAGTGATGTTAGATCTCTTCCTCGGGGCAGCTGGAGAATGTCTTATTGAGTTTAACCCCAGTTCTTACAAAACGCCCAGGTGGGGATTACAGCTTCTCAGAAGTTGGCAGCCTCTTGGCAGGGTTTACACTGTTGTTGCTGCTTTGATGTAGGAAGGACAGAAATAGCCAAATACCTAACTGGGAATCTGAGAGGATTTATATGGCACTTCTCTGTGCCAGGCACTGTTCTGAGCACTCAACACATAATAATCCTTTTAATCTTCATAATAGCCCTAAGAGATGGGTATTATTAGCATCCCCATTTTACAGATGAGGCAACGGAGGCACAGAGAGGTTAAGTGACTTGCAGAAGTGCACACAGCCAGAAGTGGTAGAGCCAGGATTGGATTCAGATGTTCTGGTTCTTGAGTCTGTGCTCTTAATCACTATGCTAACTTAATATTTCTTTGCCTTCCCCTCAAATTCCAACTTCTGGCTGATAGAGCTCATATTGACAAGATTGAGGAGAAAGGATCACCCATCAGGGCCCCAGGCCATTCGCTGCAGAGCCCCAGGGATGTCAGGCAGAGTGTGAGTGATGCAGTGATGACGGGTGTCAAATGGATGAAGGCTGGAACTATCCCTCTCCCACGTTTGCTCCGTGCATCAATGGGCAGAAAAGTGGTGCCTGGTCAGAGCTACCTAACAAAATAATGACAAAGCACTTCATGCTCACATGAAGCAGTTTGCCTTTGCTGCTTGCCATCAGCCACTTCTTGCTTTCTTGAGAATCAAAATCCATTCATTCTGCCAGTCACTCCAACGGCCAACAGACACTATCCTGATACTAATGGTTGTGCCTGTGTGTTCAGCGCTTTTTCCATTCATTGTCCCACATCCCCCTAACTACAGTCTCATGCCCCACCGTTTTCCAGGCAAATAAATGGAGGCAGAGAGGGGTAAATGATTTACTCACCATATAACACATGTACCTGCCGACTGTCGGCCAGCACAAGTTGACTATCCGTGGTTGGAAGGGCTCAGTGGAAAAGGAAGAAACATCCCTTCTCCCCAAAGCAGCTGTGTGATTGTGGCAAAGAAGGGGACTGGCACGTGTTGAAAATCTGCTATCTGCTGGGCCCTTTCCGAACATCATCCCCATTTTACAGATGAGCAAACCATGGCTCTAATAAGTCACATTTGCCCCCAGGTCCCAGCGAGCGAGTGGCAGAGTCAAGGGTCAGACGTACATCTGTTTGGCTCTTGGACCCCTGGGTCCGCTACAGTTTGTGCTGACCCCCCTGTTAGGCAGCAGTAAGAGACGTGGTGTCACATGCTCACATGGCTCACATATCAACAGAGAATATTTCATGCGGTGGGGCAGCTACATGCATGTGAGTGTGTATAAGTGTGTGATAGCATATGTGTGTGTGCATGCACATGCGTGTTCTCACGTGTATGCTACCACGGCTGCCATGAGGTATAAGGTAAGTTCTGTGAGCTCACAGGTGGGTGGCACAAGGACTTTGTAACCCGTAAGGGCTCCCCAGATAAGATAGCCTGGTTTGGAGGCAGCAGGAGAGCCTGTGCTAGGATATTCCTCTAGCCTCTTCCCCTGTTTGGTTGGTGGATGGTTTGAGCCACGGACAGGGGAGAGGAGGTCTCTGA